GAAAAAGAGCACTTTTTGTCTGCAATGTAAAGCAATTATAGCACGGGCATACTGGAACACTGGAACTAGTCCAATCCAAGTCTAATTGGTTCAGCACGGTCGCACTGCAGCAGCCATCGCAAACATGTAAGTGAACAACAGCTCCGTATTGTGGAACTTACACATTAAGGGCTACAACAAGTAATAGAGTGATGAATTGAGCTGATGCCCGCTGCTACAAGAAGAAAAGCCTGACTAATAACGAATCTAATTTCACTGACCACACAGGACACAGGGATGAACGGGGATGAAGATCAGCTTGGCCATCCAAGCCATGTCACACGATAAAGTCGACAATTGAAAGTTACTGATTGAACACATGGTCAGCAGTGGCCTACACACGGCCACACATTGCAAAGCCACCATCCTGGCCGTCTTCATCGCAGGCACTGACCCTGCACATAGGCACCTGAGCAATAAGTAGAGAAGAACGACAGCGACCTTTTACAAAACACGAACTGCACGCTCAATGGATGTGGGTCTTTCCGATTTTTCATTCAAATGTCCCCGTGCGACCCCTTCAAAACCAGCAGGCCTCTCACAGGCTTCAACCGCAAATCTCCAACCTAGGAACAGCTCCGCTGCGAGTCAGCGGAACCTCTTCTCAGGTGTTTCTTTGAGGTATGACTAGCCCACAAGCGCTTTTGTCAAAGCCCTGAACCAAACATCCTATCCAAGGACCATGCGTGGGCATCCCAAAGCTGCGCCTGCGCCAATCAACAACTTCTACAGCGCGCCATTACAGCGCGAACAATCGAACAATGAGCTGACCTGCCGCAACTCTTCTTGGCTTCAGAAGCTTCTAGCCTCAACGCGGCCGAACGTAATAGTACTTGGCAAGAGATCGATCCAAATGCACTCAAAGACTGAGCGCCCAGCAAATCCACAACGCTGGGTTGAAGCCAGGCCCGTTACTTCAAGGATCTGGTTTGCACCGAATTAGTCTGAACTTACGTAGCCCAAGCCAAGGTTTCATCAACCTTGGAGAATCTTGGACTGGATGCCTGAGATGATGCCAATGGCCATCTTAGCCTGCAACGGGACAACGATGTTTCCTAGGCACACGAGTCTCTGGCGATCGGTCTTGGATTGTTCTGCAGCCAGCCAATCTTCAACAGCAGGGCGGGTGCCCTCGTTCCATGGCAAGGCCAAGTCAATCTCAGTCTTGAGACGACTCTCCTGCGCAACGGGTGTGTGAAATACAGACAGTTTGTTCTATGACATGGGTGGGCGAGGGCCGTTTGAACAACATCTGTCCGGAAGCTCCAAACGCTCTGCACCAATCACCAGGAACACCCTTCTCCTCCCAGCCTCGCATCAATTTTGGTGGGCTGGGCGTGGCCTTGACGACTGAGGTCAAGGCGGCAAAACCACAATTGGCGAGGGTCAACGAAGACCAGGTCACAGACATGTTTCTGTCCCTTGCTGCCTGAAATCGGGTCGGGCGTCCATCGTCAATTTTAAAAAGGGATCAAGTGAATCAAGTCTCTGGCTTTCAATATGTAGGCCAAAAGTTGACGACATTCATGCTTCTTCGATAGCAAAGCCCCAACGTTCTCTAGCACCATACCTTTCCTTGAATCTTGCAAGATCTATTGAACTGAAACTGGAAAACAACCAGACTGACACACTGGCATTACGCTCAAGGCCCTGACGCGCGCGGCATCACATCATAAACGCGAAACAATTCACGGATCAGTGAGCTCCTTCCGTCTTTTAGTCCTTGTTGTCGACCTGCTGCTGATACTCCCTGACCGCGATTGGCAAGGAATCGCGCAATCAGTTTACACACGCTGGATGAGCAAGGAAACAACATCAACAGATTCTGAAACAAAGCTGTTTCAAGGCTGTAGAAACACATCAAAAAACATGTAAGATAAACATTCCCTGATTCTGAGGAGTTCGCCTGACATGGGAACCCACCCGTCAAGACCTCCGCTTCAAGCGCGGCACCGCTTGGCTTGTACCCTCTAACGTCGTTCGCGATGCCACACTCGGGTAAAAAACCCTCTTTCTGACGTGCTCTCAGCACTGACACACAAAAGGTGTCTTGTTCCACCTGAAGGCGACCAAGTTTTCAGAATCAGATTCACAAAACAAAGTCATCAACTTCAAGAGCCCGACCATTTCCACACATTCTAGCCAACTGGCACCAGGCAGCACAAGTTGGCGTCGCGATGAAAGAACAAGTTGCGTTGTATCACGGCAACACCGGTCTGAATCTAGCAGCCCTAACCTTTTAGCCAGAACCACGCAATCTCTTACAGGCAGGTCCTGCGCTGTGTCCTTCGCTCCCCATAGTGGCATTGCACTCGCTCGGCTCACCTCCAGGACAAGCCTCCAACAAACACTGAAGTTGCAGGAAAAGCACTGGAATTAACCAACACTCAAAAAAAAGCAGGAAAAGAACCTTCAGAGGCGTTAATGACGATTGTAGGTACATTCTTGACAAATCGAAGACCGTAACCCTAAGGCCGGCCTTCTCGACAGGTTGTTTGTGTGTGGCATTGGGCTGAACGTTTGAAAGTCGCGCTTCCAGTTCTTGTTGGGAACACGCAATCCAGTGCTTGTTGTCCCAAAGCCACCTTGAAAACACAGTAGGTTTCTACAAACTGTAGTTGGAACACCTCAATGAGAATCTTCGAGGCTCCAACGTTTGCTGCCTCCAGTTGCACACCACAAGCGTTCCACGGAGGACCCTAGCAAATCTAGACTTATGTGTCAGAAACAATTCCTTGAGCAAGAATTTGTTTTGACGCTGCCCTACATGATCTTCAACCCTGCGCGCCTCAGCTGGTTGATGCCAACTGTCCGGACTGTTTGCCATGCGCTCCCAGCGGGATCCATGTCACAGAAGGAAAAACAGCACACTCTCTGGACCATGTGTCAAAGTGACCCCGCCCAACAATTCAAGTCCCTGTCTTTAAGGTAATATTTCTAGGTGGAACAATAACACGAAACCTTGGAATCTGAAAACTGCTGCAGTGGGGCAGCAGAAGAAACATTCAAAAACTGCAACTGGACATCTGTAGTGTCCAGTTCACATTGACGGAACACATCCCTGCCATGCAGGATTTCGCTCAGTAGCAAAAATACACGCCAGGGATGCTGGCGCAGGCCGAGTTCAAGGCCTGCGACGCCTGTGAAAAGACTCAGGCACTTGACCTTCTTCCCATTGCCCTGCGAATCGCGGGAATCAAATGAAGAAACTATTTTAGGCAGCGTCCCGCACCTGGGGAAACATGGCATCGACTTGGCTCTTTGCAACTTGTCCCACAGTGGGGTCGGTCCAGTGTTCGGGCAACCCTGGCACGCTGCAAACACTCGCTGAATGGGGAAAAAAAAGGGAAAACGCGCACAGCGTGCCACTCATCCACTCTGCAACTGTTGGAGAAAGAAACATCCCCGGAGACTTTCCAGCTTTCCTCACGGCCTCTGTGTACCCCTCCCAATGCTTGACTTGGTTGCTCAAGTCCTTGCAGCACACCAACTGACAGTCCGTCACGCTTGAGGCCTGAGTCCCCTACAGAAATGCCCCGATTGGAAACTTCTGATTGCGTGCATCGGGAGGACGCGCCGAAAACGCCTTAGCTAGCAACACACACGCACCGATTCAAAGGACGCTCGTGCCAGAAAGTGAGAGCCCGACGCAAACAACTCCACGCGCGAAAGAAGCGCACACCTTTCCAAATAGTAGCTCCGTTCGCCTTCTTGTTACCTGCGCACCGGTTGGCGCTGACCTCGCAAAAGAAACAAGTCTGGCTTGAAGTTTGGGGGCCCTGCTTACATCTCAGGCCAAAACCATTTTCAGTTTCAATGGCTGGCAACAAGGCACGCCCACCCGCATCTTTTGAATCTTCTGCCCAAAGATCTGACAGTGGGGAGGCATAGGAGCCTGAGCCCAATCTTTAAACTTCAATGCTGTTTTGGCGCCAAGTTTGATCTCAACTTGGCAGGTTGTCTTCTTGCCGATTGCTTTTCGGACCTTGCACAGGGTGCAAAGATGGTGGAAAAACAAACATGTGGACTGTTCCCTTTTGGATTAGATTTTGCTCCCCAATGTTTTCAATCGTCCGGCCTTTCGGTTTGGACAGACCCTTGTCACCCTTGCTGCAACAGCCACAGCTGGTTTTTTGGCCACTGGCTTTGTGGCCACTGGCTTTGCGCTTTCATTTTCAGACTCCGACCTTGCACACTGGAGCGGCGTGTATACTAAGGTGGCTTAGTTCTGTTCTTAAGTTGATCTGAGGTAGGCGCAAAGCGTCCACGCTCTGAAAAAGCATGGTTGGGAAGCCGCCAACAGTAGGTTGCGAACCAAAAGCTGTGATCAAAATCAAGCGCCGGCCGGCGAAAGGGTGACGATCCCCCCCTGCTTTTTGACCAACAAACTAGACTCAAAGAACTGTTCCGAAAATGTCACAAAGTTTTTGACTTGGAACACTCATCCACCAAGACCCTAGAGCCATGACCGATCTAAAACATCCCTGCTGTCGAACTCATGAAGGCCCTGCAACCCTTAACTCTCAAAAGTAGAGGTTCGTAAAAAAGAACAACACCCAAACATGAACATGTTCCAGGTACAACAGTGATTTTGGACATAAAATTGTATAAAATTATTAAAACTCGATCTTCCACAGGCTCTGCAGCATGCGTCCAGCTTGAGGTCTGACACTGTCACTGCTTCCACCATTGCGACGGTGGTGGCTGTGGAGAATTAAATTCGAGGGACCGCATCATCCCAACCAAAGATCCACCAAAACTCTTTTTGACCCAGCGCAGAAACATGTGGAACACCAGATGCCCTGGAGAACCCGCTTGCCACGAAATCCCCTTTGTTCCTAGTAGCGATGCCAGGAGCCCCTAGTAGCTTCTTGTTCCTAGTAGACGAAAGAAACACTTCCAGAGCGGGAGGGAGTACAACTCGTCCGCTTGCGTCCGGCGCTTGTTCGTCTCCAAGCTGCGCCGAGACCGCTGTAGGGCTTTCGGCACTTCAGTTGGCATTCGGCACCTGAGGATTGGGACCGGAAGAAGATGGAGATAGGATCAATTCAAGTTGAAGAAATATGTGAGAAGCTAGTTGTAACAAGAAGCTAGTAGTAACAAGTGCATCGCCTCTAATCATTATAAATCATATAAGATCGAACTTGTGTTTCACTCCGCCTGGGGTCACAGAGCCACACTGCGAGGTGTCGTATTTGCATCCTTCCAAAGACGCCGGAGGCACCTCGATGCATCGAAACTGAATTCTGTTGGTTTAATTGTGTTGTTAAATATTGTTTATCTTTATATATATATTTATGTATTTTCATTTATTTATATTCTGTGCCGGGGGGGTAGGCCACTAGTAGCTAGTAGGAGCTAAGTGTAGCTACTACATATGGATGCAGGAGAGCGCTCGCACGAATGATTTGGTTCCTGGATTTTTAGGGCAACTGAAACCTTGGTGGATCTGATACAATCTTAGTAGCTTCTTGTTACTAGTAGCGATGCACTTGTTACTACTAGCGATGCACCTGTTACTACTAGCTAACTTATATATTATAATGCAAAAAAACATGTCAAATCTAAAAACATGTTCACAGGCAAGAAACGAAACAGAGTTGACAGCTCTAGCTTTCTCCAAGAGACACAGGGAACTTTCACCTTGCAACCTGTGGGGTGCATCTCAAAGCCGCAACCTCGCTTCGTTGTGCGTGATGAATGAGATTTCACATGATTTCACATTGTGTTTGAATCATCTTTGCTTAGATCTCTTTGTTCTTTTTTTAAAGCTCTTTCCTCTTGTCTTTTCTTGTTTTTCTCACTCCGGTCCACACACACACACACCTCGTCCGCCCTCGAAGGAGCCCGCCGGTGAAAAGCTGCCTTGAGCGATGGAAGTGACGGCTAAACGAGACAAAGACAAAATACTTGCTTAAGCCCATGGCTTAGGCGTTTCTCAATTAAGTAGGTGCCGACTTAATCAAAATGTACTAGTTCGCTCAAAAGTAGGACGCAGGATAGCTCATGCTTAAGCTTCCTTGAAGAAGCGCTCGCACTAATCATTGATTCCTACGTTTTAAGGGAAAGGCAAAGCAAGCGGCGACGCAAAAAGCGTAAACAGCATAAAGAATGTATCAACTTCGTAAGAAACAACAAATACAAGGACGCTACTAGGAGCAAAGGGCATCGCTACTAGGAGCAAGGACGCTACTAGGGGCTCCTGGCCTTACTACTAGGAACAAGAGGACGCTACTAGGAGCTTTACGAGAAGCAAGACATGTCTTCGTCTCTCCTTTCGCAAGTGTCCTGTCGACAAATATTCACATTGATCTCCGGTCTTTTTTTATAAACATCGTACAATAAGCTACTAGGAATAAGTGCATCGCTTCTAGTAACAAGTGCCTTACTAGTAGTAACAAGGACGCTAGTAGTAACAATTCGTCTTGAAGCTTGTATCTTCACGTATAGTATAGGGCGATTCTTTGAGTATAAAGCGATGAGCATAGTCAGGTACTTGCTCAGGTAGGTCATCCCAAATTTGTGCTGGGAACAAAACAAACGGAATAGTTAAAAGGGAAAGCCCATTTAACAAGGCCTCGCATTACCACTGATTGAAGCAACACATATCTTCCGCAAAAAGGTGTTGCCACACTTTGGCTTCTTAGCTGTTCTTAGCTTTGCGCTGAAATCAGGCTATTGCTAAGTTCCTTCTCAGAATCAGTTGTTTTGTTTCTAGAAATATTGTTTTTTGTGTTTCCTTTTTTCTTTTTGTAGTAACGAGTGCATCGCTACTAGTAACAAGTGCCTTACTACTAGTAACAAGAAGCTATTAGAAACAAGAAGTAGTAATTAGAATATCCCTGTTCAGTTCATTTCTGACCGTTGGCGCCGGCACTTAAGTGGCCCGGCAGTGTAGCTGCGGTGTTCCTGCATAGCCCTCACCACATTTCCAGCCCCGATGCGTCTTCACCTCGCAACATTTCGATTTCACTTTAAAAATCGATCCTGTTACTAATTTAATAACTCTGACTTATAACATATTACTAATTGTTTTTTCCCATGTCTTTCCAACTGAAGTCAAAAAAGAAAAACACTTATCCGTCGTCTCTTCCTCTTCCTCTTCCTCACGTCCGACTCGCGTCCCGGGCGTAGCCCCAAGGGATCACGTCCGTGGCGTTGCACCTCGAGCGTCCACGTCCATTTCGGTCCCGTGGAAAAGCTCCATTCGTAGCGTCCTCTTGTTCCTAGTAGCGTCCTTGTTACTAGTAAGGCACTTGTTACTAGAAGCGTGGCAGCTGTTACTACTAGCTTCTTGTTACTACTAGTAAGGCACTTGTTCCTAGTAGCGATGCCGTTTGCTCCTAGTAGCGTCCTTGTTACTAGTAAGGCACTTGTTACTAGAAGCGATGCACTTGTTCCTAGTAGCGTCCTAGTATCTGTTGTTTTTTTGCCTTTCTGCATAAAACGCCACAAAGTAACAAAGACATGTAGGACATCTTCACTGTTCCCAAACTTCCGTGGGTTTCGAAGGTCGCGGGCGCCTACTCAACGTTCTAAGAAGAACGCAAGCTGAAGAGCTCTCCGTGGGAAACGGTTCAGGTCAGCAAACCAATAATTTTGATCAAATTCCAATTAATCTTAATTCTAATTACTAATTCTTGTTTCTAATAGCTTCTTGTTCCCAGTAAGGCCAGGAGCCCCTAATAGCATCCTTGCTGCTAGTAGCGATGCCCTTTGTTACTAGTGGCGTCCTAGCTCAACTTCTACTTCTACCTGCTTGCCGATCAACCTCACCTCCTCTTAGTCGCTTCATATTTTTGAGTTCAAGAGAATGACTGTCCGAAGACTGACCACAGACTGTCCAAACTGAAGGAACAAGGAACAATTGGCTAGATACGATCAAGAAAAAAGCGTCCTTAAGGTCTTCGAAAGGTCTAACGGATAAACTAAATCTAGGAACCAAATGATCAGTGCGAGCGCTTCTTCAAGGAAGTGTGAACTATCCTGCGTCCAATAGCTAAGTAGCTAGGAGTTTTTACTGAATTAGGACCGAACTTACTACTAGGAACAAGTGCCACGCTTAGGTCTCGAACTAAGTAAACGGTGTTTCCCTGCTCAGACCCCGGCGATTCCAAGACACAGTCCAACTCTCCTGTGACGCCCTTCACTTGTCGAAATGGTGTCGTTTTGATTCGCACGTCGGCCCAGGTAGTAGCTTCCCTTGCTAATTCCAATTATACTAAGTGTGCCTTACTAGTAGTAACAATAAGCTATTAGATTTAACTTCTAATTCGAATTAAATATAATTCTAATTTTTGTTTCTAATTGTTTCTTGTTCCTAGTAGTAAGGCCAAGAGCCCCCTAGTAGCGTCCTTGCTCCTAGTAGTATGGCCAGGAGCCCCTAGTAGCATCGATTCGCACGGCCCTATTTCGTCCTTGTAAAAGTGGCTGGCCATCTTCATCGCTGTTGTCCTATCAATTTCGGATTTAGGTGGCCACTCTACCTGAATCACCAACTCACAGCCGACGACCAATGCCACCGGACCGGCCGTTGTGACCTGATTGCCTCCACAGCTCCATTGGATAATGCTCCACACTACTACTACTACTACTACAAGCCCTTTGCTACTATAGTTTCTTGTTCCTGAGGCCAGGAGCTACGTTCGTAGCGAATTGGCACTCGACCGACTTTGCCAAGTCGACTTTCACCGCGCTGAACCGTTCTCATTCATCTCGCGATGTCAAACATGTGATTTCGTCTCCTCGGGGCATATGGCCGTGATTGGCGCACCAGTGTAGGGCCTTGTTTGCGGCAGTGGCTCTCAAAGGCCTTTCTTGACCCAACGGAGTTGGCGAAGTTGAATCGAAATCGAATTGAACTACAGTAGTTGATGTGAATTGAACTGATTTAAGTTTAGACTCAAATGAACTGATTGAATTGAACTTAGATCAAATGAACACAATGTAACTTAATTGAGTTGAAACTACTTCGATTGAACTTATTCTTAACCGAATTTAGTCGAAATTGCTTTAGTTGAACTGAGTTTGATTGCATTGAATTTAACTGAAATTGAACGATTTGAGCTGAAATAGTTCTTTTTTAACTGCCTTTACTTGCATTGAATTGAATTGTGATTATTTAATTGGGTTCAGTTAAACAGAACTGAATTTAATCGAGCTTACTCTAAATGAAATTAAAGTTCAAAATGCATTGACATGAATTTAACTTGACTGAGCATTATCTCATTGCAGTTAGTTTGAACTGATTGGAATTCAACTCACTTGGCTTGAGTTAAAATTGACTTAATTGAGCTGAGTTTAATTGAGTTGAACCTACTTGATTTTGCCAATTGACATGAATTGAGCTTGATGTAATTTAATTACTGCGAGAGCTCTTTGAACACTACAAAGGGTCTACAGCGGTACGCACGATTTGCGCGCATCATCCTTGTGAGTTGGAATGCTTAATTTGCGTACTCCTCCTTGAAGTTGTGAGCATTTTGCTCATAAGTTCACCTAGAACTTCAGTGCCGGGCTGTCCAAGTATTCTTGGCGCATCTCCATTTTGCTGTACACCATTATCCTCCCGGCTGCGTCACCGGCCTTGTCTGCCACCTGCCACTGACGGTGTAGCTGTTCCATATGTTCTTTTGCTCGCAACCCGGATCTTCCCTCTGGTAGCTAGGTCTTCCATCTTCGTCCGCTTGATCTTCTCGATCTCTTCCTCGTGCTTTCTTTTCCGCTCAGCATTTCTTGCTGCCCGAACTTCTTCATCTTCTGGATCACTCTCTGTTCCCGTGGCCCGTGGCTGTAGGTGTTCCATGGGAATTTAGACAATTTCTCCGGACTCCAACTGTACCACGGCCATCTCTCCCTCCGCTAGCTCTTCGCCAGGCACATTGTCTGGAAATGCGCCTGCCAAGTCCACTGTCTCCTCCTCAAAGTCCTTGATACATTTTCTGATCAGGTGATCCTTTGCCTGGGCCTTCAGCTTCTGCAGATTGTAGTTCCTGTTGGACTTTTGCAGATCGTCCCAGCGCTTCCAATCATCATCCTGGACCTCGGTGTTGTCCACATATCCATCGTTTGTGATGAGTCCGCGATGGATCTTTTCACATAGCCATTCAAGGTCTTCAAGGCTTCACACTCAGACTCTTGCTTTCGCATCAGCTCCTATCAACTCTTTCAAATCTTCCTCGACCTCTCTCAAGCTCTCCCAGAGCATGTAGACTGCAGCAGTCAAGAGCAATACCAGTACCAAAATGCATAAACCACCAAACAGCTTGGTCGTGCGCATGTGGGTCTCTAAACCGATTGAAGTCCTCGCCTGTACCAGCAATTTCAAGACACGACGAGCAGTGGGCTTGTTGTCGCCATAGTATGTCACCTTTTCATGACCGAGCAACTGGGTGAAGGCGAGGAGTTCATGCGCAATATGAGGTTCACCTAGTTCTTGGATTTGAGAGGGAGTCCAACTAGATACCCCGTTTCCGAGCACACTTCCACCATCCAGACCTCCTTCCTCCGGGACTCCTGCTTGAGCTTGATCAGGTATCTCAGGCTCGCGCAAATGTTCCAATTCCTGGAGCGTTGGTATATAGGCAAAGTCAAAGCAAATGATGGACACCATGCATTAAATAGCACACGCGTCAAAGAGTGCTTCCACTTCTCCTCTTCGCTATAGTGCCTGTTCTCGAGGCTTTGCTAGATCCCGGGGCGTGAAGGTGGGCGGTGGGCCTGGCGCTCAACCAAGCGGCCAAACCACTTCCGCTTACTGCCTGACTGCACCACTTTATACAACGCACAGGCTGCCCGTAGAGACCGCAATGCGCTTTCCAATGTGAGCTCCACCCTATCGACCTCAGTCTTCTCAGGGATGGCTACTCCCACTTCAAACCGTACTTCTTGGTCATCCAAAGCAGCTCCTCTCAGGAGATCCTTGTCTCTTCCTGCGCATCATACATACTGCCCTCATCATCTGCAATGGGGTAGCGTAGTCCTCCACGCCGGCCTTCATCCTCTTCGATGCCTCGTAGTCGAAGCCTTCCACTTCAAATTTCATGTCTTCCGGCGCTTGTGAGGTTGTTGAAGGTGTCACAATCTTGGACATGAACTGGCCCTTCAGCTCCTCGATCTCACTTTCTTGGTGCTCACTCATCCCTACCAGCTCCCATTGGTCTCCCCTTTGGACCACTGTAGAGCGGCTCATTCCATCCTTCTGATCCCTGAGATCTATAAATTGAGGGCTTTGGAAGCGTTGGCCACGGTGTACTCCAATCCACCTGTCTCCACGCCGTTTCCATCCAGCTTGCTCCTCCACAATCTTCTTCAGGTTCCCACTGCAGCTGGCTCGTTTACGTGTTCGCAGTATCGTAGACCAGCGCTGCAATCTTGCTATATGAACTGCCCTCGTTCAGCGTCATGTTGAGGTGAGTGGTCCTGAAATGGCCTTCAGGAGGGCTGCAGCTCGCATGTCACGTGGCAGCTTGCCTCCCAACCGCTCGTACTGGGTGAAGTGCTCCTCAAGCTTCAGCAATTGGGGTAGGATGGACAGCTTCATGTTGAGGCTTGGGTAGGCCATGATTGCTTGGAGCAAATTCATGGTCCTGTTCCGGGCCTATGGCTGGCAATTCAGCAGCATCTGTCTCAAGGACGTTCTTGATCAAACCCACCAGCCTGCAAGCTGTAGAGGAACCTGGCTCGTTCCTTCTCATTGAGGAATTCCCAATCGATCTTATCCCCCCTCTTGTTTTCGATGTTGGCCAACTCATCCTGATAGGAGCTGCCCACCACCATGGCTAGGTATTGTTTGAGGCTCCAAAACCAGTCACGCCACTGGAGGATTTCATGCTCCCTGTCGATGGGATGAAAGGTTCCTGGCCTAGGGATCAAACGGGCCACACTCGACTCTCCTGTCTCCAGCCGCAGTAGTTGAAGCTTGGGTCGCTGCAGTTGCTGTAGCTATCAATGCTTGGGTCAGTTCCTCCACTCCAAGTAAAACTCCTGACCCATCCATGCCTTCCCTGAAGACTCCCCACTCAGGCCTCCGAAGGGATCAAGGGCTGCTTCGAATTCAGGGATGTAGGGCCTTGTCCTGGACCTCAATGGACTTCTGCTTGTCCTGGATATGGGCAATCTTGTAATCCAAGGTGATCTTCTCTCTGCTTGTTCAGGTACCCTCACGCGCAGACTGCGAGATCTTGCAACACCAGTTTATGGTGGCACGTCAAGCGCGATGCACGAGGAGCCCGCACTCGGGGATATGGACCCCGTCCCCTTGAAGAGCCTCCGGAGCCCGGGGCAAACCAAAGGAGTGCCCGTCACCGCTCCGCTACCATGCGAGGGCTCTTTTGAACACTGCAAAGGGTCTACAGCGGTGTGCACGTGCGTGTCATCCTTGTGAGTTGGAATGCTTCATTTGCGCAATTACATTTAATGGAATTGCTCATTGAACTCAAAACAAGTCAGCTGAATTGAACTGGATTGAATTTAACTGAGTTGACTCTAGTTTCACTGGATTGATTTTTTATTTTGAATATTATTGAAATGACTTGAATTGAATTGAACTGAATTGACTTTATTCAAAATGAATTGACTCTATTTAAATCGAATGAAATTTACTTGAGCAAATTGGAGTTGACTTGAGTTTTGACTGAGTTGTTTAACTGAGTTGAACTTAATGTAGGTGATCTTATGTCGAAAATAGTTCAAAGAATATAATTGAAATTAACTGAAGAGAGTTGAATTGAGTTGAACTCAATCTAAATTCAATTAACTAGTCAATTAACTATACGACTTCATTGAGTTTACCTCAGTTCAACTGAATTGAATTCAACTTAAATGAATTTAACTTAATTGACCTTCATATGACTTTTATAAAACGTATCCAAATGTTTGAACCTACTGTAATTCAAAGGCATTGAACTACATTTAAGTCAAGTTAGTTGAATCTAGCTGAATTGAAATGACATTCATCAAACTTACTTTGACTGAAAATTGTTCAACTGCATTGTTTTTAATTGAATTTGATTGGATTTAGTTTATTTGAATGGAACTCACTTCAATTGAACGACGTTTAAACATGAATTAATTTTACTTGAACCCAACCAAACATGACATTTAACCTAATTAGATATAAGTTGATTGCTTTTTGTTAATTCAACTGAAAGGAACTGAGTTTTCTGCAAAGTAATTGAACGAGCTGATTTAAGAAAACGTAGGAATTACTCTGAGTTGAATTTAATTTGAACTGAGTTTAATTGAACTTAAATGACTTAAATCAACTTGTGGCCCAGAGAGAGGGGCGGCGAAAGCTAGACAAAGAAACAACGCTGGGGCTCTTTTGGCAGCAAAAGCCTGGCCGGGAACCGCAACATGCCATGGCCAGGAGGGTGCCAACAGCGACCCCCCCAATACGACCCCAACACAGCCACCCCAGCACCGGCAGCAGCAGCAACAGCCACAACAACAATAACTGTAACCAGCAGCGGCAGCGGCAGCAAGCAGAAGCTACCAAGCAGCAGCTGCAGCAGGAGTAGCTAGCAAGCAGCAGCACCAGCTACCAAGCAGCAGCAGCAGCAGCAGCAGGAGCAGCCACCAAGC